AATACAATATCCAACTTTGCAATTAGGTCTATCTCCCATATCTAAGATGCCACTTTAAATTTTAAAGTTTATTCTTTTTCTACGATAATTATTAAATAATATGAGAATTTTTTTAAATTTTTTTTTACCTCTGTAGTTGATTAGTAAGTTAAATTTAATTTTAAGTTAAACTAAAATTAAATTGTCCATTAAATTAATATACTTTAATTGGTTGAGTTTTCATTTCTTTTAAGATTTGTGACTTGCTATTGAATTTTTTATATGTGAATGACTGTTTAGGTAAGTATTGATTTTGTGGTTATGTTTGAATATTTTCAATGGTTCATTTGATTTCGAATGACTTGTTTTATGTGAATTTTTAGGTTGGATTATGAAAAGCAATATTATTTAAAATTATTTTTGAGAATATATTAACTCTGTTATTTCTTCAAATTTAAGGATTTTGATAAAGTTTGTAGTAAAAAAATAAAATCTTAGCTTATTACACCAAATGCAAGATGAAATTATTTTCATTTCTCATTTGTATTTTTGGTGAAAGGAGAAAAGTATTGTCAATTAAAATGAGATTAGATGGACAACTTCAAACTAGAAAGTAAAAAATAAAAGATTATTCTTGAATCTAATTTGCAAATTATAATATAGCAAGATAATGGTGACGATTAGTCAAAATGTTCAGCCATACAATCCACTATTAAATTAAATAAGACTCAAGTAAAATTTGAAAATTTGAAGAACCTTTCATTCTAATTTTTCGACTTCTAATATATTTGATATTAATTTATAAAATCAAGACCTTATTCATATAACCTAATAAAGATGGGATATGAATTTGTACTGTGAAATAAATTTATTTTTAGGAAACTATATTTACACCCGTCAATTAAATATGGAAATGGGGAATTGGCACCAACTGATTCACATGTTGGAGAGAGAGAAGAGAGAGCGGGACTGTTTAAAAATAAAAAGAAGAAGACGAAGGTGGGAAAGGAGAAAGACGGGAGGGTTCGAATGTCATTTTCCATTACTGCACACGAGCCGAGACAAAAGCACGGGGTCACGGTTATTGTCTGTTATGACAGTTTGCCACGTAAGCTACACGTGCTTTTATGATCAGTGTTGGTTGGGCGTGGCCCGCATTGACGGTTGACCGTTCATGAATAGGACAAACTAGACCCTACAAATCGCAGTACCTGCCGACAAGATTACTTTATTAACCATATCAATATTTCGTACTCATAATGACTAAGACGAAAATCATAAACTATATTTGATCCCTACAGAGATCAGGACGGTCACGGGATCCACTCCCGGGGCAAAAATATAAGAATAAAATAAATAGATAAGCAAAAAAATTATAAAAGAAAAATTTACGTTGACAGTTGACACTGAGCTGCCTGCCTAATACTTCGCCACAATTTAATGGGAAAATTCTTCACTATGCCCAGGTCAAATCTTTACACGACGCGTGTACCTCGGCTTCCGGGCTTAGACTAACCACTTACGTGGAAACTGCCAAGATGACCGATTCTTCAAATCTGTCTCTTCTTTGCAACCTCTATTATAGATTGATCAATTAATTTCTGAAAACTCCCTCTCCAACAACCGTCATTAATCAACCAACTAAAACAAGTAATTTTTCTACGATCAAGCTAATTTCAAGCTTATATATCAAACACCTCAAGGCTCAAGCTTTCAAAGAGAGGGTTTTCAAGTCTCAAAGCAACTCGAGTCATCTCAAATGGATCAAATACTTTTTCATGATGTACTTTTCAGATGGAGTCAATTTATTAGAATTAACTACAGTTTGCTACTCTAATCTTGGTACTTAGATATTTTGTTATTAACAAACTAACTATAACTGGATTTATGTACTTAGCCGTATTAGTACATTAGATTGTAGAAGAGTAGTATTATTCTCATTATTATTCAAGAATACAACTCTTTTCTCTCTATTATCTGTACCGTGTGATATGGTATTAAAGTGGGAGATCTGCGTTGGAACCTCTACAATATTATTTTCTTCTTATTTATTGTGATTTTCACTCGTTCGTTATTGTTGCAATTTTCTAAATTCACAAGTGAGGGAAAAGTGTTAGATATCAAAATATGAATTAAGTTTATCCAACCCAAAAGCTTAATAATTTACTCATTCTTAATACAATTATTTAAGCTTTAGCTTTCCTAATGAGATGTTATGCTAATGGATAGGGTTGAAATTTAGGGTCTAAACAATGTTTCAAATGAGAAGTTTTATGCCATGATATCCCTACTCACGTGTCTTCACGTGAATTATTTTTATCAAATTATTTGTAACTATTACAAAATAGAAGGTGTATCAACAATATTTTATAGACTATTTAGATTATTTATTGAATAAGATTATTTTGTATATCAATTACGCATTGTTGAAAATTAAATCTTAGATTTTTGCAAAATAGATAGTGCACATGATAATTAAAATAACCAATCAATTAGTTATTTTATTTGTGAATGAGAAAATGTTTACTAAAAAAAATACTAATTAGTATATATAAAAGTCCGTGCCCCAGCCTCCCTTGAATTGCTTGGATTCGAGCCTACATGTGGACACTTTCATTTTATTTTTTCATGTAACTCGATATTTCTGTAAATTGTCCTAGATTAATCATTGTTTGAAAAAGATTACTATTTCAAGATGGAAAAGAAATCATATATTTAGGTCAGAAAGAATATTGCAAACCTTCCATACAAATATATCAACTTTTAAGAATGGATTTTTCTTAATATCGAGTATATCTCTTCATTTTGTCGATCTATTGTTGACCAACCCAAAACATTTTTACTAAAACATATATCTTACAAAGCTTCGGCCCAGATCACTCAGTGAAGCCCAAATCCACTGTCAGGCTCGAGTAAGCATTGCAAAGCTCAGATTCTTGGTACATTGATGGCACAGTAATAGGAAAGATGATAATTTATAGGGAGAGGAGTTGGTTTCATTCCTCAGCCTCTCTTATGTGGGACAAGTCTAAAGATAATTTTTTTTTCTATTTTTTTTATGGGTCTTCTCTTATCTTTTTCGAAAGTATCTAAAGATGGGTTGTATGGTTTCTTTTTCTCTTTGTATTTCTATTACTAACATGAGCTAAACCTGTAAAGAGGGGTATAAAATCTTTCATTTGTAAACACCATTTTTCTTCTTGTTGGAGTATTTTTCTGTTTGAGCAAGGTGTGTACTGTTTATTATTATTCTGAATGCTTGATCAAAATTAAATGCACGTCGACGATGTCATTTGGAACATTTACAGGAGATTTTCAATTAGCATTGTGAATATTAAAAATGCTATGCAACTACATATATAACAAAATATCTGAATCAACCTACAAGGAACTATTTATTATTATTTTTTTTAGCTTTTGGGAAAAAAACAAGAAAGAGAAATTGAAATATTATGTAATTTTTTTTTTCCAGAAAATTGTTGTTGGGAAAATTTACTTACCTATAATATTTTCCACTTCCACCCTTCTTCGGTGAAAACTAAGTGAACTACAATAATATGAGAAAAAGAGGGAAAACACATAAACGACACAAGCAAATTTATATTGGTTCACCCAACTATGGGCTACCTCCAATCTTCCGCGACAACAGGTTCTACTATGATATTGAGATAAATACAATGGGTCTCACAAACGTTCTATAAAGCTCTCTCTAGATGCCACAATAATGACCACCTAGCTTCTAAGAACTACGACAATAGCTACTTAGAAATACAGAATGAAAAACCTCACTCACCTCAAGAGAACGGGCTGCCGACAATACTTTACAAACTAACGTTCTTCTTTTTCTTCTTAAAGAACACTATTGCCGCCACACCCACTTTTGTGCACCAACACTGCTGCAAGAAACACACAACCACTGCTTTAATTGGGGTATAGGAAACCAAAACTAAAGACAAATAAGATAATTGGACTTTAATGTTATTTAGACCCAGTTAACACTTTTATTTTATTTTGGAGTTTTTGACTCCACAATTTTATCCCAACAATCTTCCACAAAGCAACGATCTAGTCTCTCATTGCAACAACAGTGTCCCTCATTCGCTTACTGTGGTTCACGTTTGTGTCATTTGCTTTCCTGATCAACAAAGTCCCCAATAGGCCGATCAAGATCAACAAGCCGTCAATAGGCCGATCAAGATCAACAAAACCGCCAATAGGTCGATCAAGATCCACAAGTTGCCAATAGGCTGATCAAGATCAACAAAACCACCAAGATGCCGATCAAGATCAACAAAACCACCAAGATGCCGATCAAGATCATCAACAAACTGCCAATAGGCTGATCAAGAACCAACAATCTCCCCTAGCCACTCACGTTTTATTACCAAGTTGTAGGAATGGAAATCAAATAGTGAGACTCACACAACTTTTTGATTTCCAATCTTACTCTAGCCCCTCACGTTTTAATAACATATTTTATTTAACTGTTTTATACTTTTATTAGTCGATATGATTTTATTATAAATTTAACATCGACAAAGTAACTTTTTCCATCGTAACAACTAGTTCCTTTCCATTTCATTGATGATGTTGCAAATTAAAATTTTGATTTTGGAAAAACTTAAAATGATTGTCTAAATTGTTTTTTTTATGGCATTACTTTGATGTGATTTTTAAAAATTAATTATACTAATATATATATATATATATATATATATATATTTTTCAAAATCACCTAGCATTACTCCGAAACACAATCTTATATTACAACAAAAATATTCTCGGCGTACGTCTCGGA